TAAGCAGTTTTTCTTCCCATTTCAGGATGAATTTACGCGCTCTTTTGTTGGTTTCAATTCAAATTTTCTTTGTTGACAGCGTCCGGAAAGGTGAGTAATTTATTATTTTACTGTGCTAAAATCCACACTACTAGAGAGAAATAGACTGAAGATTTGGGCTGGAGAAAACTTAAATTTAATAGTCATATTTTGTAAGAAACCCGTCTCCTGCGATTCGAATCATTCGTTTCGATGCCAGATGGTACTGGCATATGCCAAGGAGTCAAACTAGCCATCAGCTTGCAAGCAGTCCTCAAAAGAGGGAACTATCGACAGCTTTGCGGACTGCTGCCATTTGCTATAACTCAAGCTACTTACCGAATACCTTTTGCCTCTTGCAAAAAATTTAATTTAATTTTAAGCTGTTCTTTTAACAAACTCAGTCCTTTAAAATTTTATACCCTACGCTGAAGGTTATTGGATGTTGCACTGATGATTCCCACCCCAACTCGCATTAGATTATTTGTCTGTGTTTGTGGCTAAGGGATGAAGCGGGCTGCAGACATACGTGTGCTTTGTAATATGTAATTTCCAATCATCCTCCTAGGCATCAATTTTATTATATGGAATTTTTTCCCGGTCCGTCAAAGAAATTTGTTGTGACTGTGGCCAAATTAATGCTGTAACAAATCTTAAAATCCGTACGAGCAAAAAAGCTTTCATAAATGCTATTTATCAACGTTATCCGTACTATCATGTGAGACTTTCTGTGCTAATGAGATGTGAACATACACGAGTTCCGGACTATCTATGCTTCTCCCGTTTTGCACCTATACTTCTTACAGATTTCTAATTGATTTAATCTTTCCAGAATCTGTTAATTAAGTGTTCTATATACACCAACAGCATTATAGTTAAAGGTTTTTCGACTCTAATTTCAAACTATTTCGTAAAATTACAATTTACAACCAATCTCAGTACGAAATTCAATCACTCGTTTCAATGGTAAATTGATACTAGAACGTGCAGAGGAAACAAACACGCTTTAGTTTTCTTTAATTAGCCCTCAAAAAATAAGCCTATCAACACCTGCGGGTAATTACTATTGGCATTTGCTATTACTCAGATTATTTTCGGAGTACCACAGAACAAGTGAAAGTGGAAATTTTAACACTTTGCAAAAATATGCGAAAAGCATGTCTTAGGACCATCGCCTGCGACCATTCTGGATTGCTCGAGACCGAATTCCAATGGTTTGTACGTGCGTGGTTGCTCCTCCAAATTCATGCGTTGCTATAATGGCAAGCAGTACGACTATACTTGTCCTAAGAAACTCAAATTTAACGTCGAAACTGCAAAATGTGAACAACGACGACAAGTCATCGCTTGCATCAATAAGTAAATACTAATCCTCTCTTTAATATTAGTGCGTGAAAATCAGGTGCAGTGATATTTTGTCCCTTCTGTGCCCACTGGGTCATCATTCTGCCTAACAATAACCGATGTGTGGTGCTCCATCCTTGTGAATGTTTCCCGTACATTATGAAGTACTGCTGTTATAAAGGTCAGGAGTTCAATTGGACCAATAAGTTTTCGTAAACAGGCACTGGCGACTAACAAAAAGTAAGTAACAATCGCTATCAGCTTATTTCCAAGCAATCTTTGAGAGACGGAGCCATCGACAGCCTTGCTAGTGGTTGGTTCACTAACGGTTATGCATCAGTTGGAGTATTTCTGAGTGCTTTTGTCTCTTGCACAGGAGTGAGTACGAGGAAGGGTTTGATGAATATTTGAAAATATGCCTTTTTTGACTTATTTTTAATTTCCAATTTTGATTCACTGACTGACTGATAGCCCTGTTTCAGCATGGACGACAATCAAGTGGTCGTGAAGGCTGAGTAAGTTAATGATTTGCTAATATCCACTTCCGATTTGTTGAAGAACGAAAATTGTAAAAATTTTCTGGCCTGAAAGTTTCATCAATTCTTTACTTGCAGTGAGCCGTTTGACTGTTCCAAGAAAAAGGATGGCGTTTACGGGAGTGGAAAATGCTCCACCACCTATTATCACTGCTCGCGCGGTCATTCATCCGAGATGCTCTGTCCAGCTGGCTTGTACTACAATGACAAACTGAAGGGCTGTGATGATGTGGACAGTGTGGATGAATGTGACGTTCTCACCGCACTACGGGGTTTCGACGAACGCCGTGAAAGCCATCTCGGTGAAGAAGGTCAGTATTTTCTGGTCTCCCGAATAAACAAAGAGGAAGTTATAAGAAGAGAGAATAGAAAAAAGAGAAAAAAAGGAAAAGGAAGATAACAAATGAAAATTAAAAAATTTGTAAGTAATTAGAAATTTTTGAGAATTTGTGAGGAAAAAACTCTACGTTCCTGATGTCGTCTTTTCTACTGACTCAACCGTGAGTTCGTTTGGAAGCGTGAAAAAAGTACTATAAAAATAGATCCTTTTCAGGAAAATACATCGAACGAAATCTGAGATATGGTGGTGGTGGTGGCGGTGGAATGCTTGGTGGAGGTGGTGTCTTTGGTGGTGGTACACGTATTATGTCACTCAACAGAGCAAAAGGCAGGGGTCACCGTGGTGGCAAAAATCGACGCACACGACATGCCTTGTAAAAGCTTCCGCTTTTAAATTTAAATAATTTCTTACAGCGAGGAACATCTTAGGATGGAAATGAGTGGTAGCTGAAGAAATCTAAGATGTTCTGAGTGCCACAACACAACTTACTTCTGCTTGCCAGCTTAAAAATGACCGTTTAATTTTGTTAATTTAGGTACCAAGCAAGCTTATGGAAACCAGAAAGAGGTAGGTGTTTTTTCTTATTTCCTAGTAGCAGCACAAGCGAGGCTAAAACTTTTTTTTTTAGAGCTAGTGCCTGGATTATATTTTGGGAATGCAGATCACGTATGAAAAGCACTTTGACAAATGAACAGCACTAATTTCATTAAAATTCAAAGTCAACTCCGTATTCACTTTCTGTGGGGAAAAATGCATTCGGAAGTAACCCACGTGGTAGCTCGCGCCAATAGCAGCCATCAGTCAGTAATGCTGTCAATACCTCTGTTTTCCGAAAGTTCCTTACAAAGAAGCTGTTGGTTTTTATTTTTTTGGCTCACGTCAATTTACCACCAAAATGAATGAATGGGTCGTAGGGAAGTGATAATAAGTGGTTTTATAGTGATAACAAATAATTTTGATATACAGAAATAACAATAACTTCGTAAGTGACAAAGACAATTTTAAATGCAATATTTTATTAGTAAAAAGCAATGCCCGCGAAAAAAAACAGAACAAATGCTCTTCACCTCCCTCGCATCCATAAATGAGGCTCATTGGCTCTGTCGCAGTGAAAATCCAAATAATTACTGCCCGCTTGTATAATTCTAAATCAAAACCCTCTCCAAAAATTACTGTTTTTGAAGACTATGGGCTCTCCGAAAGTAGCTCTTGTGATGCCTTTGCATATTCATACAAAATGCAGCGCCTCAAGTTACTGTCGTATATCTTTACAATTGTTCTATCCTTCGCTGTGTAGACTCGATTTCGCTACGACGTTTGCTTAATTCTTCACGATCGTCTTCCGGTGTATAAGCTCGATTTCACCACAACGCTTGCTTAAATGTTGTAGAAATTTTAGAAACATAAACAATGAATATCCGTGACCAGGAAATTGGAGGAGAATGGAAGACTTAAAATCATCTATGTATTAACATATGCAGTTGTTTTTTAGCATGGTTAAATCGTCAGAATCGTCTTCCGGTATACAATCTCGATTTCACTATGATGTTTTTTCACGTGGGCGCCACTGCCTAGCTTCTTATGTTTCGAACTGCTTAAATCCACTTTGGACTTTCCGTCACCAAGACGCCTACAACCCGGATTTTCGTTGATGTCTCTATCCTTTGTTCTTGTTAAAAATGCGGGAATTCTATTGTTGTAGAACTCAATTGTACGGGCATGGATGATGGTGTCTACGCAGCCGTTTATGGACAATGCTCCAGGCATTACTGGCAATGCGAGGCTGGTAAAACAACGCTAAAAACTTGCGATGATGGCCTGTTTTTCAACAACGCCATTGAAGGATGCGATATACCAGGAAATATTGCAGATTGCAAGTCTATCAGTGATGAGTGAGTGATTATTTTTTTGTAGTAAAATCACTAATACTGTAGCATCGAAGTCCCCGGAATTCTGTTTGTGACTGATGATGTGGCTCTCCAACTGTGCAGCTGACAACTTTACCAATTACTTTGACCAGTGCTGCATCGTCTGGTGGACAGTCTTTTGACGATTTTGACCTCTGTTTCATTTCCTCAGATTTGGATTACTGTACTGGGAAATTTTCAAGAAAGCATGCATAGCGAAAATCTTATCTTTATTCTTAACGATAAGTAAATTGAAAAAATAAGTAATCTAAAAGTATTTTTGGTCTAACAATGAAAATCTGCCGTTTTTCGGATCTGCAGGGTTAAAAATTTACCTCGTCCCATCTATTTTCTGGATCCATTTATATCGCGGTAAACAATTACCAGTAAATCATAAGTAGCTATAGAAAAAAGTGAAAAAATTAAGTGAAAGAAAGTGAATACAGGAATAACAATATGCGAAAGAATAAGAAGAAATTATAATAATTAAATTTTTGAGCAAAGGCAGCAAATGAATATGCATTTTACTTACAGTTCAGTAATTAACACATTTTTTTCTATAATAAGAGAAACTAGCATACGGACGTTTCGATCCATGAATGCTGTGTATTTTTGACATAGAAAGCCACCAATCGCCCTAATTGTTCCAAACATTCTTCCAGTGTCCAGTTTGTAAAAAAATTTGATTTTTTCCGTGAGGCGAATAAACTTCTATCTTCAGAGGAAATGAAGCGCTTGAATCGAATGAGGTCGTGGAACCAGATTGCGCTTTCTTGGAAGATGGCCCACTGGAGCATTCCACTTGCTCACCATTGCATTTTAGTTGTATACGCGGTCAACTTCTGAAACTTCAGTAAATACTTATTCGCTTAACTGGATCTTTACTAACTTACTGTATGGCAAAACAATGGGTACTAATTGGAAGTGTGCGACTCAGGATTGAAGACTCTGGCATAAGTGCAGCCGGCCTAAGTCAAGTAACATCACTAAAATACTAAAATAGGATTCCCACGTGGACAGCCTGGACGATAGCCAGCTGGATTTCTTAGTTCCCTTCAACTTATTACTATAATCGGCTTTCATATTGCACCTTAACTGTACTGAATACATAAGAATATAATTCTAATAATCAACTTTATGTGTGC